AAAATAAAGGATGAAAATAAAGCATATGGGAATATAAAAATAAATCGTATTTATTTGTTACTTATTTCGAGTTTTACAAGAAAAGTATAATATTTACTGGAGACAATTATTTTATTATTATAATAGTACATGATATTCCCTTTAAAATGACACCAATATGAATAATATCTTATATCTATATCTACAAATAAATAAAATTGAAGTGTCTGTTTGTAATGTTAAAATAACAGCTTTTTATTAAATGCATATGAAAGTACTATTTTTGTCTGTATGTCGGTCTGTCTGTCTGTCTGTTTGTTCCAGCTAATCTCCGAAACAGCTGGATCTATTTTGACGGGACTTTCACTGGCAGATAGCTGATGATATAAGAAATAACTTGAACTACTTTTGTTTTAGAAAAAGAATTAGGGTTCCGCGCAAAAAAATTAAAACCCATGAAATCCATATTCCACGCGGGCGAGATCGCGGGGAAAAACTAGTACTCAATATAGATAAATGTATACTTATTTTTATTTATTTATTATTTTAATAAATAAATAAAAATAAGTATTAATAATTTCTAGACACATCTCAACAGATATTTCGTTTATAAATTGCTATCAATATTGAAGCATTCTTTTATATTTAGCATCCATTTAACACAAAGCTGATAGGAATACTTTTTAAACAACATAATATAATCAATAAACGATAATCGCGTATAGTGAATTTCAAGGTAAATTATTATATGTAAACGTTTTTGAATCGTCGTAATGAAACATATTTCCTAAAGAAAATATCTTCACAATTAATTTGATGTAAAATAACATTAGAAATAACGTATAAAAACAGAAAAATTATCAAATTTTTGATCGAGTTCCACCAGTACACAAACAAAAATGGCGAAATAATTTTCAGATTTTTTTCTATATAGTTATTTGTTACAGAGTACACAGATAAAATTCACTCTCACAGATGACAAATTTCAAACACCACAATCTCTAATTTTTTACTCTGCTATTTTCAGCGCTGTACACGAACGGAACGATGTCGTTGAGAGCCGTGGTAGCTCACATGGTTAGCGCTCGTTATAGGTATCACAGTACGGGAGCAACCCGGGTTCGATCCCCACTGGCACCAATGAAATTGTTGCGTGCTGATTTAGCTATCAGTTGGAAAGTCTGTTTTTCTGGGCCGTTTTGTTTTGTTACACTGACATCTCGCAAGTCACCTAGGGACCTAGGAGGTTGTCGGTTGCTTATTTTTTATTTTTCTTTAAAATTTTCGTCGGTAAAATAACATATTTATAAAAGTAAAAAAAAGTAAAGTTACAGCCTATATACGTCCCACAGCTGGGCACAGGCCTCCTCTAATTTCTGAGAGGGTTTTAAGGCAAGGAAATGTCCGCCATGCTGCCTCAATGCGTGTTGACGAACTTCACATTTCTTCGAAATATATATTTTTTAATTTCTCAGACATGCAGACCCGAGTTCGATCTCCGCCGGTACCAATGAAATTGTTAATTGCAATTGTGCTGATTTACCACGTGCTCGGCGGTGAAGGAAAACATATTGAGGAAACCTGCACGTCTGAGAATATAATTATAATCGAATGTAAATCAAATTGACATAGGTAAGTACAGATAAAATTAGCGGAACATTAATAAAATTTTGAGATCGTTTTTTTTTTCAAAATTTTATTTATATATTCCTCTATCTTTGTCTGTGCTTATATCAATTTGATTTAATCCAAAGTTCAAGCAGGGGTCAATGTAGCGTAGTAATTTAGAGCGCAGGTATAGCTATAGTCATACGAACGTCACAGGCTGCAGCTGAGGCTGACTGAGTCGAATAAAACTAGAATAAGCGCGCGTCACCGCGCATGCATGTGTGTGTAAGTGTCGTCCTCCCGCACCGCACCGGGGGGAACATTATTCAGTGAGGTGCACGATAATTCATATAAACACGCGCGCGTAAAAAAATACGAAAAGGCCTTTGGAAGGAGGGGTTTTACGAAAAAACCACTGCATGAATCAATTACCAATAAAATTTATTGAATTCTTCGATAATTGAGCTGTGTCGGTACCGACTTTGTTTTGGAAATTTTACACTGCTTTTATTACTAATTTTGTTAAAATTGGTAATAAAAACGAATCTTTGGTAGCTCGTAACTTTTTACTGACTTTTTATTTTACTATTCTGTTTCGGTACAGACAAAATTAATAATGAGACAAAACGATATCATGTTTAACTTTGGATGTACACTGTCAAACAGCGGAGTAAAACCCCTCCGAAATTTCTATGGAAATAATGTCGACTAGAGTCACAACTAACTACAAAAAAACTTTAAAAAAATATTGATAAATATTTCACTTGTGTAACGTTAGTCCCAAATTCGCCCGCCTCCAAATGAAGACGAACATTCCACTCCTAACCTAAGAGTTGAAAATTAATGAGTGAAGATTTTAGTATACCTTACTGTAAATGACAGTCTATGTGTTTTTACTTGAGATTGTAATGTTACTTAGTCCACTTTTGAAGTCTTAAAAAAGTTTAGAATCAACTAAAGAATAACCCAAGGAACTAAAATAATAATACACTTTGAACATAGTATATATCATCAATACATGATATTTTAGCACCGACTCATAAGCTCTTAAGTGGACATAATTTTATTCCTTTGATGTCTATTTTAACTTTTCATTATATGCTTAATTGTTAAATTTACAATGCAGACATGTAGAACACTTAATATTTCCTAAGTGTTCATCTCAGAAACTAAAGCATTCGTAGCATGAGCGTAGCATTAAAATAATTTATAGGAAATAACAGGTCTTTGAGATAATTCTAAAGTTCGGAGTTAATCGTCATTTAGTACAGATGTCGCTGATGCCCAATGAATACGAGTACTGAATTTTGTGCTCTTACGTCCTGTAAATTTTCCCTTTCATGCTAACAGATGTCGCTAGTCAGATTTAACATCGCAATGATTTGAGACTGTTGTAGGAAACACTTAAAGAGCTGAAATTTATGCAACGATGATCATAGAACGCCTACAAGTAGATGGCAATTTTTGCAGTTCGCCCAGTTGCACAGTGCACACACTAGAGCGACGGGCGAATGTAATATTAAATAGTAATAGTATCTGTGTATATTTATATTACCCGCTACTTATAATTATAGTTTCTTACCAGTTTCTACCTACCTACTAACCCTCGTCTGTTTCATCTCCCCTGCTTATTATTTATGTATATTGTGTAGTCTATTACCGGTAGTCTTTATTTTCGTCATCTCCTTAACAATCACGTATAAAATAATTATACTCTATGAACACAAATCACAATAAATAGAACATCTGTGTCGAATTAAATAAACTTATTGCGTATTTCCAATCACAATGCTCTTCCCTAATCTGTACCTTTAAACGAGCAATTCTTGTAAAAATTGATCTAGCTAGGATTCATTTTTAGAAAATGTCCTTTTGTCCGTGTTTTCAGGCAGTAAAAAACTGCTACAATATAAGGTGATAAATTTTGACAGCGTATTATCGATCGAAATAGCGAAATGGAATATTGGGTGGTCGCGAAATCAGATTGCCCTGGTTCTCGTCCAGTTTCTGGTCCGGCTTTTGTCCTTTTTTTCAAGTTCCCTTCTTTGGTGAAAAAATCTATTATATCGAGCCCTTTTTTAGTATGTTTTTAAAATACGAAAATTTAAAATAAACTAATTGCACTCATGATTTTTATTCATATAACCAGTTCAGTTTTTTCTATTATGTTAAAACACACGATTCAATAAAAAAACGAGAAAAACTCGGTCAACCAGGTACTGTATGTAAACAGACTAAAATAATAGAAGTAATCATCGATCATTGAGTTAGTGAACGATGGAAGTAACAAATAGAAGGCACAAACATATCAGTAATAAATTGAATAATTATTTAAATGTGTTTTATAATAAAACGAATAATGTTATTAGGCATTATTATATATCAGTTTTTTAAATATTTTCCTATCTCATTATGTTTAATGAATAAATGTGTGTGTAAGAGGTGTAAGCAATGTTAACTCGTAATAAGTCGACGGGTGCAAAGTAAAAAAAGCTAACTGCAATTTTGATATTTTTGGTTTTTTGTAAAAACTAACTTAAAATACCATGTTCTACAACATAGCAAAAACAAAAATATAAATATCACCTTATTTTCGGTACTTTTGTCATGTAAAAGAAGACAACTACGCCTTTTTTGTGAAATTGCACGATGTAGATGCGGACAACTACCGCTGACCGTTTATACGCGGGACGCGCGGGGGGCCAGCGGTCAGTCATATTGCGGCATCAGTCAGATGACATGTGCTTCGCCGGCCGGCACGAATTTTTGTTTGTTTTGGTTTGTTTAGTATTATAGTGTGTGTAAAAGTGTTATCATATTAGTAAACAGTTTGAGTTCAACACAAAAGACGTGGAAAGACGTAAATTATTGGTGAATTTGGGCAAAACGGGACGACAAAGCGATATTATGAACCGAGAAGATCTATTACAACTTACCGTGAAACTAGTTCTGGTACGTATTTTTATAATACAAGTTTAATGTTATTGTTATTTTGAAGTTAAATCATAATTAGTTTTTGTAATTATGAAAATAGGTTATCATTGATATTTTTTTTACGAAACGACGCACAAACGGCTATCTGCCATATAGCTTTTTCTACGTTGCGATTGTGATGTAGATGTCTCAATTTACTTTTGTAAATTAGTATTGTTTGTTATGTTTATGAGTACCTACCTATGTTAAATCTTATTGTTAGCTATATATATATATATATATACATATTAATTGACTTATAATTAAATTATATTTTCTTACTGTTATTTTTTACTATTGTTTCATCTTCAGAAAGTCCGAAACGACCTTTTAAAGAAGATGAAAGCTTGCAGAACATAAGCGATGGATTTTTTGACAAAAATGCTGTGTTGGCCGATGAAGTTACTGAACATCTTATAGAAGACCTTGATGTGTCAGCGATGAAGACAAATGAGTATCAGTTAACTTCGCAAGATAAGTCCCCATGTTCTGTGTACTCTAGGTCGGTCACACCAGTTCACTCTCAATCTGAAATACAAATTAATTCAGAAAATTTTTATGTTCATAATAGAGATTCTACGAGCAAATTATCGGATACACCAACGCCCTCAGAATACAACTCATTTAGTCCGCCGCGTCCATTATCAGAATTAGATCAAAATATCAGTTTAATAAACTCAGGCAGGCCATCGAGTATGTCACTAATTTCAAACTGTCAATCTTCTATAAGCAACACTAGTGATGCTTCTTCGGCAGTGGAGGCATCAAGTGAATGTTCTACACCTTCGTCGTTAAACGGTAGAAAAAGACGTCAGTTCAGTATTGATAGATCAAAGAAAAGGCGATTGAGAAATAAAGACAAGTGGATTGATACAAGACGTAAATTACTATTAAATTCCGGTAAACAACATCAGTCCAGAAATGGAAAATTGCAACCTGCGAAACATCTTAAGCCGGCATGTATTATTTGCAAGTTTAACTGTAGCGTAAAAATATCTCACGAAGATAGAAAACTTATCTTTGATCGTTTTTTGGATCTCTGTGATCACGAAAAGCAATGGGTTTTTATAGGTAAATATACAAAACGTTGTATGAAACGAAGAATAACTACAGAGAATGATTCTAAACGCCAACACAGTGTAAACTATACACTTCCAATAAATTTAAAAGAAACCAGCCCTAGAACTGTAAAAGTATGCAAAACAATGTTTAAGAATACGCTGTCGGTAAATAATCAGTTTATACAGGTTGCTCTTGATAAATATGATAAAAGTACTGGTAACTGTGAAAAAGACTTCAGAGGTCGTCATAACAATAAAAACAAGGTTTGTACAGCCGCCATAATAAAAGGTGTGTGTGATCATGTAAACTCGTTTCAACCAGTGGAGTCCACCCAGTGGATTACACAAGAAAAGACACAAACAAAGTTTACTTGGCTGATTTAAATTTCTCCACAATGTTTAAGTTGTACCAGACTTGGGTAGAGGAAAATGGTACTGTGGAGAGAGTACACACAGCGCGCCAGTACCGAGACATAGGTAACAAGGAAATAAACATAGCCTTTTATATTCCTAAAAAAGACCAGTGCGACGTGTGTATAGCATTTATAAATTGACTTCCTTCACAAACCAGAGCACAAGATCAGTACAATAAACATATACAAGATAAAAATATAGCGAGATCTTTGAAGAAACAAGACAAATATGAAGCTACATCTAATCCTGAAACTGTAACTTCGGCTACCTTTGATTTTCAAAAAATTTTGTTGACACCACACGGAGAAACCAGTTCATTTTATTATAAGCGTAAACTTTCTGTCTTTAATTTTACTGTTTTTGATATGTGACTTAAAAAAGGAATATGTTATATGTGGCCTGAAACTATAGCTAAGCGGGGTTCGAACGAAGTGGCTAGTTATATAATTTTATACAACAGTCAACTAATAGAGGCATCAAAGATATCTGCCTGTGGTCCGAAAACTGTGGCGGTCAGAACAGGAACCCTATTGTGTTTCTGATGTATGTATACTGCTCTCAATAGTATAGCATTGATATTCAACACAGATTTTTGCAGAAGGCTCAAACCCAGCAAGAAGGCGATAGTGTCCACGCATTAATTGAGAAATCGTCGAAGAGAAAATTAATTTTTTGTCCTGAAGAATGTTATACACTCGTTCGGTGGTGTAAAACGTCCGGCGATGCTTATGAGGTTATAGAAATAACACAAGACCAAATTTTGGATTTCAAAATATGTTTATATGATTTTAAATTGACAAAAAATACCGACAATGAGAATGTTAAGTGGAATCAAGTTCGAGAAATAGTCATTAAAGCAGAGAATCCTTACACAATATTTTATAAATATGATCTAAATGACGAAGAACTCAAGCGAATTGAATTGGTGCGAAAAGTAACTACTCGTTCCGACCGTGGCTTTAATGATCCCAAAAAATGTTATAATGAACCCATCATGATTGCCACAAATGCCAAGTACAAAGACTTAATAAGCCTCTGCCAGCAAAATCTGATACCTCCTAAATATCATAACTTTTATAAAAATTTGAAACATAGTTCCTGTACTGACGGTAATGAGACTGAATAATTTTTAAATTGGTTTTAAAATAATTTAAAAAAATCTTTCGTAATTTTTTAAGTATTGATACAGAGTTTAATTATTGTTTAGAATTTAATTTTCTACTTACTTATATCATAAGTGAAATACCTAACTATTTTTATAAAAAAAAATGTACGAATAGAACGTACTTTAAAGGATTTATTTTTATTATTGTGTTAACTAGGTCATGGAAACGAACCTAACTTGATTATTGTGACTGATGTTATTTTTTTATAAATTATGAAAACTTTAGAATTTTCTAGATATAATTTTACTTGTTTTTTTTTCTAACGAAGGCTATAATTAAAATTTTACTGTTGAATTCTCAACAAAAGATCCGATAAGATAAGATGTAAAACGGTCATTAACTAATTTTAATAATAGGAAGTGTTACAGTTTTCGTATTTACTGAAATATACTAATCTACGTGGGAATTCAAAGACAGTAAAGTATTTTACTAAATCTTTGAATTCCCACGTAGAAACGGCCAAGTGGTAGTTAACACAGTTGTCATATTTTAAGCGCAATGTAGATGCAGACAACTACAATATCTCGTAAATTAAACATAATTAGAAGAAATGAAATATACATGTGGATACATTATTAAATAATGAAGCAATGATGAAAATTTCAATGAATTTGGTTTAAAATGGACAAAATGGGAGCATTTTTTCCTATTATGCGCTCTCCTGAAAAGTAGCTGTTTTGTAGATGACCCTTTTTACGTGTACTTTGCACCCGTCGAAGTAATATAAAGTATAGCAATTTAAATCACGCACGATAAGGATACTAATATACACATATAACATATATTATTGCCCTCATAGTTGCGCCGATCGTCTTGTGGCAAGTGCACGTTATGATCGTTACAAAAAGTCCGTCGAGCATATTATTGTTGGATTTAATTATACATACAATTCACCCTACGCAGTATTATGCCGCTATTTTACGCCTATGAAAGAAATTTACGTGAATGAAATTTAATAAATAAAGAAGAAAGAAAGAAGATACATTATTTTTCTCTCTGTGTCTACGAATTTCTCTTTTTTTGTAGAAAATTAAGAGTAATCTACTGGTCTTTAGACAAATAATAATAAAAAAATATTTTTATGTGTATTTTACTCTATTTATTAGCTCGTACCAATGTAGCGCCCTGTAGTGGCGGTGGAGGGGCATCAATATCAATATCATCCCCATGATCACCCATTGACAATATATGGTGATGAATACTGTTACGCCGACACTACATGAAATCTTACAGCATTAACTTTATCAGTCTTAATTAATGACTCGTGTCCATCTCTGTATACTGACCATAATGTACTGTCGTATCTAAAATTATTTTTGATGTGTAACGTCTTTCCTCTTAGGGCCTTAATAAGGCTGACAAGCGAGCACACAGTCCACCTGATGGTAAGTGGATGCTGTGGTCCTAAGACATCTACATTTAATAATTAAAATGCAGATACTTTGCCAGCCCTGAGGACTAAATGGAATGCCTGGTTTCCAGTAAAAGGGTCTCCGGTTCTCTACACTCACCATACGAAACACAGCAGCATTAAGCTGCTATTTTACGCTGGTATTCTGTGGTACCCCGGTCGAGCCCACCCATTCGTGTTGCAACCACAATATAGCTTAATATATTGATTGATTGATAATATATGTATGTAAAATGTGCAGATCATTGATAAAAAATGCAAGTGAGTAATAATGAACAAATATTTGAATAAATATTTTTAAAATTTTCAGGTTCATTTCTGTCGCTGCTCAAGTTGTAGTTTTAATTTTGATTGAAAAAAAAACAGCTTTTTTTAGAATATAATGTTGATATTGCTTATATCTACGTATAGCTCGAAGAACCGATAATCGATGGGGAAGAAAGGTTCTTGAGTGGCAGCCTCATACCGGTAGGCGTAGTGTAGGGCGACCCCCCACTAGATGGAGTGACGACCTGGTAAGACATGCAGGAAGTCGATGGATGCAGGTGGCTCAGGACCGTGCTTTGTGGCATACCTTGGGGGAGGCCTATGTTCAGCAGTGGACTTGTGAAAGGCCTGTAATTATGATGATGATGATGAATGATTGTTTATTACCAACGTGAGATGTCAGATGTTACATGTTACACATATGCGACTACTGTAGGGCTCACTCGTTTTATTGTTTTTGTACATATCTGTGATCTTTACAGGGGAGGTAATTTCATCTACGATTATTTTTTACTAAAGATTTCTTTTATCCGCGGCGCTAGTCTTTGCAAAATGTGACATTTGCTATCAAATTACATAGTTTACATTGTAGTTCGCATATTTTCAGTAGGACTTCTTTCGGGAAACAGACTACCTACGCTGTTCCTGTTACTTTGTCCATAGACTAAGTTTCTTACTTTTAAAATGTAAATAGAATATAGATTAAAACCATCTCAAAGATAAAATTTGTGATTTGCAGCTAAAAGTATTAACAGAAATATTTTCTGTAGGTTTTAATTGTAATATACATTTTATTATTGTAGCTTTTAGCAATAAACTCATTCTATTGTAATTTTGTTTTATTGAACCCATTGTTTTGATTTATTTTATATTGAACCAAAAATCGTAATAATAAGACCAGAAATCGTAATAATAAGACAATAGAAGTCGCATAGACTCGTGACCTTGTCGCCGCTATTATGTGTTGACGAACATGATTCACCATTTTGTGATTTAGTTACGCGGAGAACGTCGTACGTGAATTTATGTTATTATAATTGTAAACTGCAGCATAATAGTATACTCATCAAGGACGTGTAATTTAACTAATAAATTTCATCAGTAAGTTGAATATTTACTAATTATCATTGTTTTAAATAATTTACATCTTGATGAATACTTTACTATGATATTTATCTTTGTAAACTTTTATTTATTACTTTTTGTATTGACAATTTCCATTGCTGCTTTTGTTTTATCGTAATACGCGACGTTGACGAATTCGCCAAACAATGTAATGTGAAACATTAGATATCATTGTGCATTGCGTATGTGTATAATAAATACGGTAAAATGTAGCGACATCGGTTTTGGAAGTAATCGAGCGCTAATTCATTTCTATTGTCTTATTATTACTATTTCTGTGTATTGAACTAGCTCTGGTCTAGTGGTCGTAAACGCTACTGATGATCTTTAGGTCACAGGTTCAAATTCCAGGTCGGGTCAAAATTAGTTATAGAGTTTTCTGAAAAGAAATTCTAAGTAGCAACCCGAAGTCGTGAAGTTGACGGTGTTACAACCCGTGCCTCGGAAACCCTTGGTCCTGCTCTTGATCTCTCTTCGGTCGTGTTGAATAGACATGTTGTGTAAATTATGAACGATTCGTTCGTTTGAGCTCGGTACACTTAAAAGTATTGATGATTCATTAATCTGTTTTTGAATATTCCGGTATATCCAATCACAAACAATTGACGGAACCTTTCTATACCGAATTTCGAATCTTTAGAATCCCGAATGATCTGAATGAATTGTTTTTAGTGTAAGGTACTGGAGCGCAAAATGATCCATTTGAATGATCACTCCGATGTACCGGTACGCGTGACTAAATGTACTAGAATGATTGGGTCACGAGAAATGAATGATGGACATATGTCTATGTCGAATTACCGACTCATTGGTCTATTGGTATACTCTTAAATAAAGAGTGCACCTGCGCTGGTAAATACAATTAGGCACTATAATCCTGATCTGCGCAGATGGCTCGTATCTATTGAGACTGGCCGCCGTAACCGAAAGGTCTGGCGGACATAAGTGAAATGCATCGTAGATTATGAATGAAATAATTCAAATATGAGAACCCCTTATGAAAAGTTGATACTAGTTCTAGAGAAAAGCTATTTTTATTTTTGTGTCTATTTCTATTCTAAAAGTGTGAAGCTTCTATAAATTTGCTGGGCTGCTACTGAGAATTTCTTTTTTGTACGTGGTAGAGCCATGCTGCAGTTATATTATGGTTATAGCACGAATGGGTCGGCTCGACCAGGGAAGAACCACGCTCTCACAGAATACCAGCGTAAAATAGTAGCTTAATGCTGCTGTGTTTCGTATGGTGAGTGTAGATAACCGAAGACCCTTTTTACTGTAAACGAGGCATTCCATCTTAGACCTCACCGGTGACAACGCATCAGCATTTTGATTCGTAATCGAGGATCCATGGGCCACAGCAACCACTTACCATCAGGTGGACTATCTGCTCGTTTATCACCCTATCCTGTAAAAATATATTTCTTGAGATTATTTTTTATCCTGTAAAAATTCACCGCTAGAGGTCTCTCCCGTTACATAGAGAAGATTTGTATTAATCACCATACGTGGCTGCCGGATCGGCATTAGTACTAAACTCACAACATTAAGGCAACCTCGTCGCTAGCCGAAGAAGTTTAAGTATGGCAACACCATCTATCGGATACCATGAATTTTCTAGAAAATTTTCCTCAAATCACCTCTTACACCACTTCTCTTCTATAGATCTTTATTTTATCTCTATTTTTATTACGTAACTAGCGATACGCCTTGGCTTCGCACTGGTGATTTCTGGATCTCGACAACAGCGCCACCTACCTGGTCCAAAAGTGAATCTAAACAGTCTAGGGACCCATTCAAACACACACAAAAAATACTATTTTATATCGGTCGAGCCGTTTTTAAGTTTTAGCAAGACTTACGGGGATAGCAATGGATTGTTAGGGTACCATACTAACCAACGGGACCCTACTACTAAGCCTACGCTGTGCGTCCGTCCATCTGTCTGTCAGCGGGCTGTATCTCATGATCCGTAATAGGTAGACACAGAGGCGTAGCTACCGCCGTATCAACGATACGAGGACCCCAGGTTCCAGGGGTCCGAATATGTAAGCAAAATTTGTAAAATATTATCCAAATCACACATATATTCTTAGGTCGTACTTCCCGAGAAAAATCGTATGATTAAAAGTGCCCAACTTGCTTTAAGAAGTTTTCACTTCTAAAATTATGAAAGTCAAAAAAGGAATTTCTTTTTTTTTCCCCCGGGTGCAGTGGGCGTCCAAAAGTTTGCAACACATCTCACTTCACGATTGACCCGCTATCACAGAATACTAAATCCGCAAAGCATGTTTCATATTACGCTATGCCACAAAGCGTACCTGTCAGCCATGAAGTTATAAATAAAAATCCTTATCTATAACTTCATGCTGTCAGCATATATTACATCCATAGAGGTTAGAGAGAAGGAGAACGATCGCTACGTACTAAAGCATAGCGGCCTGTCCCTGAAAACTCGTCGGTAAGTAGTATCTGCCAAGTTAGTTGTTTATGAGTACAAGTAGATGAAGTTAGTTGAATAATGTGCAAATTTTTTTCGCGCCTTTGGTGAGAAAATAATCGTATATAATAATCTTTTAATTTTTGACAAAAAGAAACATTAATAAATGGTGAAATATTATTGTATTGTGCGTGTCGCAAGTGGTTTAGTATCTGATCGGAAAAATTAACTGAAGATGACTTTTATTGAGAGAACTTAGCGATCGCAGCGCCTCACTTATTTTGTCCATATTTCTGGGACACTATTTTCTACGGCGATATTTCTTCTACTCTCTAACCTCCATGATTACATCAGTTATTGCGGGATTCCCCCGTTTATGTGAATGACACTGACAAATGAGTTCCTAAGAGTAAGTAATAACTTATAATCAATTTATAATTATTTTAATTCAATGCGAGCTTTTTTGTTCCTTTTTTGAAAAACCTTTACCTTTCATTTGGGCCCCCATTAAATTTTGATACGTCTAAGGCACGCTACGCTACTGGGTAGACCATGAAGGTTAGAGACCAGCAGGGCTATTCACAAAGCGTAGGAATGATTTCTCTCGGAAACGGAAAAGTTTCGTTCGACAAGGTTTCTTCAAATGTCACAGACTTTGGTAGGTATTCACATCTCCTCTCGTTTAGGATTCGACACGGAAAGCTTTTTGAATGTCAGTGGGAGTGAATTGTGTCGTTAAATATCAAAATCCGTTACGTCCGCTCTAAGTGAAACGGAGGAAATTGATGTTATATGTGTTTTGGTGTAAGATTTTATAATTTCTGCTGTTTTGTATAATCAGACTATTTTCTTAGGAATTTGCATATAATATAATTTAAAAAATTAATAAAGTAGTGACAGGATAAGCTAAAAAAGCGGGTTAAAGTTTGGACATGCCGCATTTTGATGTGTATGAGCTAATTATATCGGTGTTTGAAAAAAGTCGTACTGGACTTACCTAAGTTTGATTGACATCATTGTAATAGGACGTATTCAGAGCAGCTCACTTGTGGTATTTTAAGAAATACATCAGTATATTTAATTTTATAAACGAAACAATGATTTCAAGTGAATCAAAATACATTATTTATTTAAATAAATTCTAAAACTTCTTCCATTTCATAATCTTGCGAATTATTTATTATTTCGTCTTCTCTCTCTTCAGTTAGGCCAAAATTGTTTAGTAAAATACTTTTATAAAATTGAATTTCGAGTATCTGATCCCATTGAAGTCCATAATGGCATTACTACAGATACAAGTAAACATGTAAATCTTGTGTTAAATGTATAAGTGCATTTCAAGTGCAAGGTCAACACCAGATAGAAAGTAGAAGAAAAATTAACATTTTCAATGAAATTTTATTTAGGTATAGGTATATGTAAGTAAGAAAACCACAAGAAGCATATTTCTGATTAATAATTAATTAGATGGGTTAAGCAATTATTATTCACACCCCGTTTTTAAACCTTGAACTTACGTTTTTACTGCATAATCCTTTCCGCCGTTACGCTAAAATAAAGTTTATTTTATATTATTTATAAAATTTTAAATTATCATTAAGTACTCAATAAAACGATAGTATAAATTTTCAAGCTGAGTACAACCCTGTAGTACAAAGTGAGTTACAATACAATTAAACCTATCTAGGTACAGCGTTGGTGTTTCATTTACCTTTTTGCTTTTTCCGCGGTCCGTTTCTGTCTAGATATTTACATAGTCTTTTTCCTTGCCTTATCTGGTTCCACCACATTTAGACCAAAACTGTTTTCACTCATTTTGTTCAGAATAATTAAATAATAATTACGAGGGCAAAGTGTTTTGCTTCCGATAACTCATGCGAATAGCAGCCATATTTGCGCTATACTCTGCTCTGATTGGCCGGTGCGGACATGCTTGATATTGATAAACACTTGTCAAAGGACTTACCGGGATATGAAAAAAATCGTCGGTTTTGACCGTTATTTTCATAGAGTTTTAATTGACTAACCTCATTTCGGTGAAAACGAACTTAAAAAGATTTAAATTTTAAATTTAGCGCCATTAATAGTCTAATTTTGAGTAGTGGTTGGACTTACCGGATTTCGATATTTAACGACACAATTATAGATTGTCTATGCGTCGGAAGTGACCTCCGTCCCCATACAATTTTGTAATGTTTATAAAGAAAGATAGTCGAAAACAGCACTAAACTATATAAAACGTTAAAGTCTTCAAATATGTTATATTTTTAATACAAATATTGTAAATTGATATAAATTTTCGATAAAATAATATTACTTTTAATATACTTTATTACTTTTAATATACTTTATTCTTTATTTTAATAATTGAAAATTAATCTTTTTACTAACATACTTCGTAAATGCTATTTTATTGTCATTGCGTTTCGGAGCAAAATACTCTTGTTTGTGGTTGTCACTAAATTGAACTATTTTTCCTGAATTGAAATTCCTGTGGTGAGTGGAGCTATTCAAGTTATTTAATTGTTACATCTTGATTTCTTTGATTTTAGTACCTAATAAGTTTGTTGATTATTAAAATATATTCATACTTCTGTGAGCAAAGAAATTCAAAAAAAAAAACGATTGCAAATGTACGTTAAAAGTTTTACCTATTTAGTCTAGACTTCATTGAAACTAATTTTAGATATATTTTTTGTATTTCAGCAAAAAAGATGTGTGTTTCCTACGAGCAACGTACGGGTTGCAGGCGCAGATGCTGCCCGTAGGAAATTAAAACTGCAGACTGAACTAGCCACAATTTTAAACAGCTGTGCCAAAGGAACAACAAAAAGCTCCGATAAATGGATAAAGGTATGTCTGTGTTTAGGTGCTACAAGTTCATACATATTGTAGTGCTAGTCTAGTGGATCGCTTAAAGCCAACTTTGTTATGTATGCCTACAAATGTGCATTCTAACCTTTATTAATACAAATATTTGATAGTGTTGGCAAGACGCGCATGCGCATGACAGCGATGTTAAATCTAAAGCTGCCAAAATCCGCCGTGCTCAGCAGCAGACTGGTGGAGGGCCTGGACCTGCACCCTTATCTGCCATGGAGGAATCTCTAATGGCATTTATTGGCCACGAAGCAGTAGAGGGCCTTGCCGTTGCCGATACGTTAGAGGTACTACAAATTCATATTTAATTTTTAGGATTCAATACTCTCCATGCTTCCTTTCGATTTCATAAAAAAATGGAGCTTTGTAGTGTAACTTGTATTTGTACCAAACAACAAATATTTATTACAAAAATTAATAAGTTGCTAAATGTATGTTCATAGTTATTCAAAATTTACTATTAAATATCTAGCACTAGAATAAACTCATTCTAAAGAAATGTGCATCTGCATATTCTTGTGTATATGCAACTGATAGAGATCCCTAACCCCATTTATTAGTGAGAGAAGTAGGAAGGATATTATACAGTTTAATTTCGTTTTGTCTTTACAGATTCCTGAAGGTGATGCAGAAGTAGAAGCTGGTGGTGACGAAGATGTCCACAATCCGGTTGTGGATGATAGAAAAACAACGAAAAAACGTAATTATATTGATTACTTTTTATTGTTTAGTTATTATTTCATGTCTTAATATGTTGTATGTTGTTGTAGAAGATAGACTTGAAGAGTGTCTAGAAGTTCAGGCTGCAGCCATGAATACGCTCTCACAGTCAATGAATAATTTGGCTGCAGCCATAATTAATTTTGCTGCAGCCCTCAAATCCATGGCCAATAAAAGTGATGAATGAAGTTTAATCTAAGGTAGGTCAAATATAGTTAAATAATTTTGATTAGTATGAATTATTTAAATTTAATTAAAAGAATAAAACATAATAAACAAATAATTATTTATAAATTGTTATTAATAAAATAATCTTTCTATTAATTGTTGTCGCACTTGAAGGCCCCGCTCATATATTTGTATCTCTCTATAATGATCTGCTGTACTCGCGTCTGGTGCTAAAGCTTCTTCATCAACTATGTCGGGAAAACTAAGTCCAGCTGTTATGCACACATTGTGTAAAACTGCACATGCATTTACAATGCAGCCTACTTTTGTTGGTTCATACTCCATTTTTCTTAGTAAGCATCGAAGCCTTTACTTAAGAACACCGAAACACCTCTCAATACTGTTCCTTGACCTTATATGGGTACTGGTATATCGACTTTGAGGTGTGTTTTCTTCAGCATTAAGGATCGGTGTGAGGAGCTATGGCTCCAAGGGATATCCGGAATCACCTGTAATTCAAATAAACAACTAGAACATTACAAATACTGTTTTAATTGAGATTATTTGTTTCAGATTTATCGAAAATATTGTTTATTGTAATACCTAGAAGCCAGCAAGTATTGCCTTTACCATTAAGGTTCATCATCACCTTTCATAGTGCACTAAACCTCCATATAAAGGAATCGTGTGTTGCACCAGGATATTGTGCACACACATTTAATATTTTTAAGGAACTGTCACAAACCTATAAAAAGCGAATTAAATTAGTACACAGTCTAGGTCACTTGCATAATTAATATACAGAAGTCATAATGATCTTATTATTAAAATTCAAAACCAATGTCCTGAATTATTGTAAGGTATTTGTACTTAAATATAAATGACACAGTTCGGAGGGATCAACAAAACAGAGTGTAGCCATGTGGTGAAATCTAATGTATTTACCATTTGTGCATTAAGGGTGTGTTCACCCTTTCTATTTACATAAAGTTCTTCATGTTGACTTCTTAAGTTTTATATGTGTGCCATCAATATAGCCCAATACTTCAGGAATTCGAATTTTTGGTAATTTCTGCAAATGAATATAAGACTGATTGTGATACTAGCTTCTTAGACATTCGAAGGATAAAACTATGTGTGTCAAGGTAATTAGGTTCCTACTTAGAAGATAATTGTTATTTTTTATTTTATTTTAATATGATTATAGTTATAGTTTTTAAAATTTTAGTAATTTGTTGTAATTTCATATTTAAATGTTGACATGTTAAAATAATAAACCATTTATGTAATACGAAAGTATTTATTATTTATGCAGTTTTCTGACAAACTACTTGTAAACATATTTATGTCCCACCGCTACTTATGTGCACTTATATCTCACTCTTAGCTGCTTTGGGTATTTTAGGAAGACGGCACATACTGCTGCTGTTTGTAACCTGGTCAGTCCCTTAGTTGCCCACTGAATGAAAACCACATGGATTACTTCGAGATGGTAGCAGGTTTATTATGTGGTTTTCTACGCTGCAGCTACATTATAGTTGTAGCATGAATGGGTCGGCTCGACCAGGGCAGGACCACACTCATAGAATACCAGCATAATGCTGTTGTGTTTTGTATGGTGAGTGTAGAAAATTGCCCTTTTTACTGGAATTAAGGCATTCCAACTTAGTCCTCAGCGGTGACAACACATTTACAATTTTGATACTTAATTGAGAATAAGTGGGGATGTCAATGAGCCACGGAATCCACTTACCATTACATAGACTATGCTCGTTTGTCACCCAATGCAACGAAAATAAAAGCACCTAATTTAAATTTGCATCGGGAAAGATCACCATAATTTTTGAATTTTAGTTTCTTATTGATACATATATTATGCTTGATAATACCTACCTTCAGATTCATATGAATAAGTATGCTATAGGTACCTATGTCATTTAAATTTTGAGATTTACCTTAAAACAGTTGCTTCCATTTGAAGACGATTTGAAAAATTAATTAATTTTTTGATAATTTGAGGCTGATTTAGTGCGGTCACTGCCTCTCTAATGGCTCTGCTGGAAGTAGGCTGGCTAACTTTGAAGTCCACATCCTTTGTTAAACTTTTTTGATAGGAGCCATGTGCGAAAAAATGTAACGCGCAGAGTAACTAAGTACAAAAAGAGAATTAAAATAAGTAACAACTTAGGCACGGTACTGAGTTTACTATCTAGATACCTATTTACCTTTAGTTCTACAGGAAGTGAGCTTGAATATTGATGTTGTTGCCAAACAGGCTTTAAATCGTTCACAACAGCCAAGGCCAAGTCGGGGGTGAGTCGGTAAGTCGAATGGAAATTTGGGTCCTCATACGGATTCGACAAATCGCGAAACCGTTTGTTTCGGATCATTGTTTGCATCCGTAGCTTCTCTTTTTCGTGGTTGCGGACTCGCATATGAAGAATTAATGCTACTATGCCTGACATTGCTTATATCTGTAGAATTAGTGATAGAAAACTTATAAAAACACACCTTTCTTCCAAACATTCACAAAAATACAGTTTTGCAAATTAAGTGCAAATATTGAAATAATTATATGAAAATATGTTTTATACATAATTGCAATTAATTTATGTTACGTACCTTATACTTAGAAAAGCTTATTTATCTCTTATAATTATCAATATTTAAGTTTTCGCCAGCCTCAGGGGTCTCGTAAAGTTTCCGATGCGAACTGTCACAATTCCCGAAAACGAATGTCAAATTCATCCGAACGGCGAATGTGAATAGCGTTTCATTGTTTCCGTTCGAAAAGTTATCGAATCCGAGTCGATTTCCCTTTCCGAGACGATTGTGAATAGTCCTACAGGAGAACGATCACTAAGTACTAAAGCATAGCCCGCCTGTCCTTGAAAATCGTAGAATGTACAGCAGCGCTGACGTCGGTGAGTAGTAAGTGCAAAGTTAGCTGTTTATGAGTACAAGTAGATGAAGTTAGTTGAATAATGTACAAAACTACAAATTTTCATTTCATTTTTAATGAGAAAATTTTCATGCTCCGTAATTTTGTAATTTTTGACAAAAAGAAACATTAAAAAATGAAGAAATATTTTATTGTGCGTGGATGTACCAGTGGTTTAGCATATGATCGGAAAAATAGACTCAAAATGACTTTTATTGACGGAACCTCGAGCGCCTCACTTATGGTGTCCATATTTCTGGACACTATTTTCTAAGGTGATCGTTCTCCTGTTCTCTAACCTTCATGGGGTAGACAGTTGAAATTTTCACACAATGTGTTTCAGACAATTCTGTTGCCGCTATAACAAAAAATTATAAAAATTAAAATTAAAGAGCCTCTTTTTTATTTATTAGGAACGTGTTTTACGATGATACGGAGCCCTTCATGTGCGAGTTCGACTCGCACTTGGCTGGTTATTACTATATAGAGGTACTTGCAGCGTATGCGCAGTACTTGGTTATGCATAGGTGTGTAAGTACCCAAAGGTTCACTCTAATACTCAGATGATCCACGACACTGATGGGATCCCAAACCTATTCGACTTGAGAGAACATGCGTAGGACCAACAATGGTTTTACGTGCTTACCGAGGCAGTGAGGTGAACCACCGTCAATTTTGAAGAAAAATCCCAACTTATGCAGTCGTTAATAAAAATATTGCTTAGTGAAGGAGGCAAATGGGTTTTATGGTGTACATTTTTGTTCCTACCCCATTTGAAATTATATACATTAATATTAAATTATAATACAATGTATTCTATAATCTTCGGTATATTACTTAAGACCTATAATTTTACAGTTGTTTTGCCCTTTACGATAGGTGGCGCGATGAGTTTCACTCTTCTAAATCAATTCTTACATTTTCATACGTGGTAGAGCCATGCTGCAGTTATATTAGTAGTATAGTTGTAGCACGAATGGGTCGGCTTGACCGGGGAAGGCCCACACTCTCACAGAATACCAGCGTGAAATAGTAGCTTAATGCTGCTGTTTCGTATAGTAAGCGTAGAGTTCCGGAGACCCTTTTCAATGGAAACGAGGCATTCCATCTTAGTCCTCTCGGGTGACAACGCATCTGCATTTTAATTTGTAATCGAGGATAGATGTAAGATGTCTATGGCTCTATGGGCCACAGCAATCACTTCCCAACACCATCAGGTGGACTGTGTGCTCGTTTGTCACTCTATCCTATAAAAAAGTGTAAAGCAAGTAAAGATTGTATGAATAACTTGATCATAGTGCCACTTACATACTGGGTCCATTTTGTGATTGTTTTTTGACATTAATCCAACGTATTATATTGCTTGAATAAGACATTTTGATTCATATTAATAAATATAGAACTTATTAACAAAGCAACACTTATAGGATCCTAACATCGATATAAACAATCATAATGTCTACGAAACTACAAATTGTGTAAAAATGATTTCAAACATTTAGAAGTTGCACTATTCACTATCAGTAACACATGGTCTAAACACATAAATAAAAAACATAGTCAGTTTATAATTTATTAAAATAAAAAAATAAATCCTTATTGCATTTTACAATCACACATTATAACAACTTAACTAAATTCTTAAACCATTATACAATGTAGTAATCATCTACAGAATAAGTATTGTATGTAATCATAACTTATTTAATCCTTTCTGTTATCAATTTCCTTCACTGGGTAATAAATCCTCAGTAAAATTTATTATTGAAGAAACTGATGACAAACTCCTCAAATAGTAGATTTAATTAATACAACATTTAGGTACATATAGTTATTAAGTGGCTAATAAAAAAGATTTTCATTCCTTTGTAAAGCTCAAATTATCAACACAAAATGTATAACTTCTAACACAACATTAAAGAATTAAAATAACAATGTTATTAAACACTACAAAGAGAGGCTGTTTGTTAGTTAAATTAACCATGAAAACATCAACGAAAACAAAACAAAAATCAAATAAAACTTTTGGCAACTCAAAACTTTATCTCTGCAACTGCAAAAATTCTAATATCTAATGTTCTTATTTATAAAAAGTTATTAATTTACACTTATCGATCCATAAGTTACCATTAAATTCCATTCACCGTTATATTCTAAGAGAGCCCCTGGGTCTGCCTCTGGAGGATATGATATAGCCCCCACACTTGAAAGGTGATTTGCAGATCATAGTTCCTAAATGCTCACAAAATTATATTCTTATTAGTCTGTGAATGTCGACAGCTAGACGTGGGCCTTTTCTGGTAGTAAGGCATTGCCTTAATCCTCAAGCTTGGCAGATGTACTATAACAATTCCAGACATTCCACAGCTTTGATGCTGCCCATCACCAGTCATAATCCAAAGTCTGGTGTAAACAAGATGTGTTTTTTTTTTAAATAGAATGGGGCAACAAACAAGCACACTGTCCACCTGATGGTAAGTGGATGCTGTGGCCTATAGACATCTAAATTTACCTTCGATTAAGAATCAGAATGCAGATGCATTGTCACCCCTGAGGACTAACATGAGATGCCTTGTTTCCAGTAAAAAGGGTCTCCAGTTCTCTACACTCATCATAATAAAACATAGGAACAAGTTTCTTTCCCCGTTTGAGATAACCCATCCGTACTGCAACCATAATATAGCTGTAGCTTGGCTCTACCAAGTTTGCCTTTGTTGCTTCTTATGACACACAGGATGATGAATTCTCTAACCCACCACTACACAGTAAGACTGCCTTTATTAATGGGCATATCTAGTGCATACACCATGTTAAACCATCTACTATGTTTCCTGTTCATATATAAAATAGTATTTTGCACCACATCTACCAATATCAATGCCATCAAATCTTTTTGGCATTTTCCACAATAGGTGACTGTACTGCCTACTCAAAGCATGATAATGAAGAGCTGAATTCTCTTACACACACATGCTGCAAAAGCAACCGTAAAATATTTTATGACATTTTGAATTAACCTGGTAATGTTTATGTGGTAGAGCCATGCTACACCTATATTAGTAGTGTAACTGTAGCATGAATGGGTCAGCTCGACTGGGGTAGGACCATGCTCTCACAGAAAAATAGCAGCTCCATGCTGCTGTGTTTCATATGGTAAGTGTAGAGAACTGGAGACCCATTTTACTGGAAATGAGGCATTCCATCTTAGTCCTCACTGGTGACAACACATCTGCATTTTTATTCATAATTGAGAATTGATTAAGATATTTATGGACCAAAGTAACCATTTAGCATCAGGTGGACTGTGCGCTCGTTTGTGGTCCTTATCCTATAAAAAATATTAAAAATGCTACTAAATATTTTATAGTCCTCTCTTGAGGGATTTTATAAATAAGAACTTAGATTAATTCATTGTACTTACACAAATAACAACAAAAAACACAATTATTTGTGTTTATAATAAACATATATAACTTTTTTAAATAAAGAAATCCAAGATAAAATTAATTTCTAATATTACTCAGGTTCAAAAAGCTCATATTTCTCGATACATTCAATTAACCAACTGACTGGCAATGCTTTTATGTGTTTCATATTGTACATTGGTTCATACATATCTTTGAAAATTATGTAATGGGAACACATATCCAATTTTCCACCCTTCTTTGCATGATACGGCACCAGTTTCTCTGACTCTGGAATTAATTCAGGGTTCGGAACCTGTCTGAGAATAGTACCATCAGCATCAGTTATTAATTTAGAAAGTATTGTTTTATTCAGGATAATAGTTTCAGAAATTTCATAATTAGTGTTAAAATTGTGCAAATGAAAATGACAACCATTGAAAAGGCCGGGAAGCTGTTTATATTTGTTATATCTAGCATTTTTAGGGCCATTGAATTTGGGAGAACCCACTCCTTTCACTTCATACTCGGCGAATGGTTGCAATTTCTCTTTTGTAGATTTTGTTACCCAGTGAGATGATAAAATCCAAATTCCATAAACTATGCCCTGTAAAACATCTAAATTGGGTAAACACACTCCATCATCTTCGGTGTCAACTAATAAATGTGTAACCTTTTCGGTGAATTTTGGCTCAATATGCATATTGTTATGATGTTTACATAATTTTTTTAATTTATTGTAAACTGTACGAAATTGTGAGATACAGTGTATCTTTATGTCATCGAAATCAACTTCTGATAGATGTTTAGATATGTAAGTCACATTAGCACCTAGCGTTTGTAATATATTTTCAGCAGCTTCCTCCAATATCTTTTTAATGTCATTAGAGGCTAACTGTATAGGTGTCTGACCTTTGCAATTTATTGCATATAAATGAGCACCATATTTAACTAACTCTTCAACAATATCTTTATGCTTGTATCTCACTGCTTCATGTAACGGGGTATCATTACCCGGACCAGGCACATTGATGAGAGTGTTGTGTTGAAGCAATAACTTGACCAAGTCAAGTCTACCATTCTGGACAACTTCATGGAGGGGTGTCCACCCTGCATTATCTTTAGTGTTTGGATTAGCACCCTTATTGAGCAACTCTACCACTTTATCAACTTTCCCAAGACAGCAAGCTAAATGTAAAGCAGTCTTGCCTTTATTGTTACGTTTTTCAAAAGTGTTATTCAATTTTGAAGAGCTTGCAACATATGTAAGTGAAGCATTTGGATTGTTACCCTCATTGAGCGATTCCGCTGCCTTACTGACCTCAAGAGGGCAACAGACAAATGAAGCAGTCTCACTTTTGGAGGAGCTTGCAACATCTAGATTTTCAATTTTTGAAATTTTCGTATGTTTATTGTGACATATTTCAAAAGTATTATTCAATTTTGAAGAGCTTGCAACAGATAGAAGTGAAGCATTTGGATTGTTACCCTCATTGAGCGATTCCGCTGCCTTACTCACCTCAAGAGGGCAACAGACAAATGAAGCAGTCTCACTTTTGGAGGAGCTTGCAACATCTAGATTTTCGATTTTTGAAATTTTTTCATTAGATTTTGTAGAAACTTTAGTATTTTCTTTAGCTTCTGCTTTGGATTTTATCATTTTAGCAATTCTTGTATTTACATCGGTGGTAGCGCTGTCATCTATCTTAGACTTAGACGATTGTAACGTACTTAAATTCATTTTTAAGGGGGCAAATAATTTATCTAGCTCTTTAGCAGAATGAATAAAAGCTTCCAAGCTGTCGTCCTTAAAGGCCTCATTTTCTGTTATGCGTGTATGACACGTAGGACATTTGTCTAATTTCTCGAAGTGTTCTTCACAAATTAAATGAAAACAGGATTTTAAGATGACCGGTTTTTTACACATTTCTAAACAAACGCCACATGTATAATACTGTTTTATTCCCTTTAAAGATTTTAATATGGTATGCACATGTGGTGAAGTCATCGTTATTATTTTATTATATAGGTTTAACGTATATAATAATTGTTCACATTCAAGGATAATATGCAATCAAAACACTATAATTATTTTGATATGTACTTATACAAATTACAACTATAAGAACTTCAAGCTAGAAGAGCGGGAACTTGAGATTGACATTGATCAAAGAGTATAATAAATTAGGGCCGTAGACAGAGAAACCTATAGACTAATGATCGGTGTGGCCTCGAGTGAGAAAGGACGATAACGAATTTTTTGGTTATACAAAAATCTTTATGACTTTTAAAAACATTTAGATAAAAATTTTAATTGTTCTAAGAATTGAACTGAACAAGATTCACCAATCTTAAGCTCACAAAACACTTTTTTCTCACATAAGCCAATTTCTAAACTCCTTAAATCGCTACGCTTTCAAAGTTGTTTAGCAAACTGTAGAGTTTGCTAAACAAAAAAACCGGCACGGTGAAAGGGACAAACAATCACACCGCTCTATCTCATTTCTATGCAAGACGTATGCATAAATTTATCTTTTTCGTGTGCGAATGCGAAAGAAGGCGTCAATTTGTCTATAGGTTTCTCTGTCTACGATTAGGGCAGTGTTGCCAGACGTCTTGAGCCTGTGTCCACCGATGGTAAGTGGATGCTGTGGCCCATAGACATCTACATTTATCCTCGCTTAAGAATTAAAATGCAGATACGTTGTCACGCCTGAGGACCAAGAGGGGATGCCTCATTTCCAGTAAAAAGGGTCTCCGGATTTCTACTTTCACCATACGAAACACAGCAGCATTAAGCTGCTATTTTACGCTGGTATTCTGTGAGAGCGTGGTCCTTCTCTGGTCGAGCGTCAGCTATTATGGTTGCAGTGCTGCAACCATAATATAGCTGCAACGTAGCTCTACCACGTATAAAATATAAACTATACACAAAATTTTTTATATAGCAAAATTGGAAACATTAATTTAAGCAAACAACATATTAAAACTCAAATATTTGCCAAATGAACATATAATTACTTTATTATTTTCAGTCATACATATTTTATACACAGGGCGTTAGTGTAAACACCGTTATACTTGAAACCAGTGGTTTGGTTTCACTTATAGAACGTAAATTCAATGAAAAATAACAACATTGTTTTTAGTAAAATCTCAATTTTTCCTTAATTATTCAATTTTGCCTGTCCTAAGCCAGGGTAAAAGTATGAAGGAAAAGTTACATCACAGGTTATGTGTACCTAATGTGTTTTAAAAATTTAACTTTTGTACCTATCTAATTATCTATGGTAACCGCTGTTAACTATGACATTTGGACGTTGAACATCTCAGTCCTCCCCGCGACCATGGGTGCTGTAAAGCGCTCGAAACGTCGGGTATTTATAGTTAAATATACGCGATAAAATCCGTAAAAACTAGTATTATTTCAATGTGTAGTGTTCGCGTAAATATAAGAAATCATGATGCACTTAGTTTAAAACAGTAAGAACAGAAATGGAAGAAGAAAGAAATATCTAGTTCATTTGTTATAGTCCAATATTTTTTGCTATTGATTAGAAAAGAAAGTAATTTTGACAAAGAAGTACCTTTCAATCTGTTTCTCTGTTGATAAGGAGTTGAGCCAGCTTTTGAAAATAATCTTCCAAGAATCGATTATGGATTCGTTGACATCGATGTTATCATGCAATATGTCATATCGCAAAATCTATGTTATAATATCGATGATTTAATTTTTAACATTGATAATCATCGAACTTCGATGATCATCGTATATTTCTACTGTATATTTATTATAGGAATGATCGATGTTGCAAAAACATCAATGATACCATCGATGTTGGCATCGATTGCTCAACATCGATGTTTTATGTTTATCATACTCAAAACATCGATGTTAAACAATATCGATGTTTTTTTTGCACATATATTAAGTAGTTTGAAATAGATGAATAAAAAATAAACATATTGTTTATGGTTTATTATTAATGAAATAAAAGAAATTTACAACCCCAATGTACTAAGTTTAAAACAGACATATAAAAAATTGGAAGGAGTTAACAAATATCTAGTTCATTTTTAATACAGTACAATATTTGTTTTGTAGGATAAGTGTGGCAAACGAGCACACAGTCTAACTGATGGTAGGTGGATCCTGTGGCCCATAGACATATACATAAATCCTCGACCACGAAACAAATGCAGATGCGTTGTCACCCGTGAGGGCTAAATTGGATTGCCCCTTTTCCAGTAAAAAGGGTCTCCGGTTCTTTACACTCACGATACGAAATACAGCAGCGTTAAGCTACTATTTGTCGCTGGTATTCTGTGAGAGCGTGGACCTTCCCTGGTCGAGTCGACACATTCGTGCTACAACTGCACTACTAATATAGCTGAAGCATGGCTCTACCACGTTGAGAATTTTTGCTGATTGGTTGAAAACATAGTAATTTTGACATAAAGTACCTACTAATCTGTTTCTCTGTCGAAAAAGAGATCGATTTTGTGTCCACTGACAACGATGTTTGACATGTGGCAACATCGATGCTTTCATTTTTAATACCAATGATTACCGGACATCCCTAATTCAGTGCTGCCATATATACAGATTTCTCAGTATTTATACAGATTTTCGGTGTGTGATACAGATTAGCACTGGGTACAGATTTTTATACAGAGTTTTCTAACTCTATTGATTGGATTACCATAATATTCAACTTAAAATAGAATGAAGCAAAGTAATTGACTAGATACCGCGTTACACACATTCATGATTCTATTCTTTATGGTTAATTTATTTTTTCACAACGTAATTAATTATTATTGGCAGAATTACAAGTGTATTACAAAATATGTATACAAGGTGTAAGTGTAAACACCGTTTTCACTAAAACCATTAGTAGTTTTGTTAGTAGGCTTTAATATAAAAATATTTATCCGAATTCTAAAAAAACCCTATTTTCTTTCATAAAATTTAAGACGTTTCTGTCCGAAACCGTCCGTAAATTCATGGATACCCTATGCGCCCTGGTGACGTAATCACTATAAAGATCACCGCCCGCGCTAGCTACCTACACTATATTTCAATAAAAACACATTAGGTACACATAACCTGTGTACCTAATGTAACTTTTCCTTCATACTTTCACCCTGGCTTAGGACAGGCAAAAAACGTCGCGCTCGAAACGTCGGGTATTTATAGTTAAATATACGCGATAAAATCCGTAAAAACTAGTATTATTTCAATGTGTAGTGTTCGCGTAAATATAAGAAATCATGATGTACTTAGTTTAAAACAGTAATAACAGAAATGGAAGAAGAAAGAAATATCTAGTTCATTTGTTATAGTCCAATATTTTTTGCTATTGATTAGAAAAGAATGTAATTTTGACAAAGAAATACCTTTCAATCTGTTTCTCTGTTGATTGAGTAATTAAGGAAAAATTGAGATTTTACTAAAAAAATGTTGTTATTTTTCATTGAATTTACGTTCTATAAGTGAAACCAAACCACTGGTTTCAAGTATAACAGTGTTTACACTAACGCCCTGTGTATAAAATATGTATGACTGAAAATAATAAAGTAATTATATGTTCATTTGTCAAATGTTTGAGTTTTAATATGTTGTTTGCTTAAATTAATGTTTTCAATATTGCTATATAAAAAATTTAGTGTATAGTGTATATTTTATACGTGGTAGAGCCACGTTGCAGGTATATTATGGTTGCAGCTCTGCAACCATAATAGCTGACGCTCGACCAGGGAAGGACCACGCTCTCACATAATACCAGCGTAAAATAGCAGCTTTATGCTGCTGTATTTCGTATGGTGAAAGTAGAAATCCGGAGACCCTTTTTACTGGAAATGAGGCATCCCCTCTTGGTCCTCAGGCGTGACAACGTATCTGAATTTTAATTCTTAAGCGAGGATAAATGTAGATGTCTATGGGCCACAGCATCCACTTACCATCGGTGGACTGTGTGCTCGTTTGTCACCCTTATTCTATAAAAAAAATATTTTTATTTAATAACGATAATCAAACCTTATCTGCTTATCACGTTAGTAGCTATTCCTTATTTTTCAAAAAAAGCAATGATGATGATGATGATGATCAATTATTCTATTTTAGTTTATTAAATTATACAGATTTTAAGTTTAAATAGCACACAGATTTAATACAGATTTTAGCAGTGTCTAATATAGATAAAAGGCTCAAGACGTCTGGCAACACTGCCCTAATTTATTATACTCTTTGATCAATGTCAATCTGAAGTTCCCGCTCTTCCAGCTTGAAGTTCTTATAGTTGTAATTTGAAATAAGTACATATCAAAATAATTATAGTGTTTTGATTGCATATTATCCTTGAATGTGAACAATTATTATATACGTTAAACCTATATAATAAAATAATAACGATGACTTCACCACATGTGCATAACATATTAAAATCTTTAGAGGGAATAAAACAGTATTATACATGTGGCGTTTGTTTAGAAATGTGTAAAAAACCGGTCATCTTAAAATCCTGTTTTCATTTAATTTGTGAAGAACACTTCGAGAAATTAGACAAATGTCCTACGTGTCATACACGCATAACAGAAAATGAGGCCTTTAAGGACGACAGCTTGGAAGCTTTTATTCATTCTGCTAAAGAGCTAAATAAATTATTTGCCCCCCTTAAAAATGAATTTAAGTACGTTACAATCGTCTAAGTCTAAGATAGATGACAGCGCTACCACCGATGTAAATACAACAAGCAAATAAAACAAAGCAAAGCAAGAAAATACTAAAGTTTCTACAAAATCTAATGAAAAAATTTCAAAAAATCGAAAATCTAGATGTTGCAAGCTCCTCCAAAAGTGAGACTGCTTCATTTGTCTGTCGCCCTCTTGAGGTGAGTAAGGCAGCGGAATCGCTCAATGAGGGTAACAATCCAAATGCTTCACTTCTATCTGTTGCAAGCTCTTCAAAATTGAATAATACTATTGAAAAACGTCACAATTACGTAT